AAAATGGCCATCTTTTACCATTAAAGATGCAAATGCTTTGTTCTCCAACTAATAGGCCACCAGCCCACAGGTAAAAGGTAATAATAAAAATGTATACTAATAATGAATATTAATCATAAACCACTTAACATATTTGTATTTTAAAGTAAAAAAAATAACAGTAAAAGCGCTAAATTTAAAAGATTAAGTAGCCAAAGTGAGACTTATAGCAACATTTAGATCAAAATAGCCACCAACCTCTTTGCAATTGGTCCAAAATATGGAGAAAATCTTAATCATTTTGAGCCTCTAGAGCAGGGGTCACCAACGCGGTGCCCGTGGGCACCAAGGGGCCCTCAAGGACCACATGGGGGGCCCTCAGAGTCATCTAGACAAAGAACAACCCACCAGTGGGCTAAGTTTGAAATTTTATTTTATTCTGTTGCTCTTCTTTTTAATCATTTATATAGATTTCAAAATGACAATGTCTAAATAAACTTAGAAATTAACAGAAACAATAAAAATATGTTGAACAAAGTTTAGGTTAACGCTAACCCTTGCAGCTCATGGATCAGTAATGGTCGCCCTTCCTACGTCTCGGTACCCTTGAAGTGGCCCTCAGCCTTAAAAAGGTTGGTGACCCCTGCTGTAGAGTAACATTAAAGGAGGAAAAATTATAAAAATACAATAACAGTTGCACTCAAGATAGTAGTGCAAACTTTTGTTTGATCAGTTAATTGAGACTGGTAAGTTATTTGCAAACCCCCCACCCAGTATTTTGCAAAAAAGTAGGATATGTCTTGCACATTTATGAAGGCAAACATAGAAAGTTTTTGCATCTGTTTTTTTTTTTTTTTTTTTTAGAGATGCAATTACTGTTTGCGCCTTGTTAGTAGATCAGTTTTGTGCATGCTCTTATGCATCTATATGTTTTATACATGCAAACCTTTATCAGATCAGGGCCATTGTGATCTAGACGTTTTATCTTACCGTTTAGTTAGACTAAAACGCCATGGAACTAGAAATAAGTATCCCGATAAGGAATTGTCTGCACTTCTCAAAGGAAGTACGTAAATATTCTCTGAATGTGTGCATCATAGATATAACAGCTTTTCCTTTCGAAATCATCCACTCTTGCTAGCTACATCCCCCTCAGAGCCAAAAAGCCACTTCAGAGTGAACATGATTACAGATCTCTCCCTGAAGGCCTCTGCTTGGCTCTACCGTTTACCGTTTCAGGGTTTGCAGCTCCACACCAAGCAGAACATCTGAATAACAAACAGCATCAACCCTTACTGGAAGACTGACCAATCAGCAACCAGAGATGTCAGAAATACCCGCAGCTAAAATGAATAAATAAAGTGAACAAGGATGTCTCTATTTAATGCAATTACACAAATTTATTCAAGTAGCTGTAATTATGAACCCATTAGCAGCTTTAGATTCTCCATGTAGATGTAAAAATGTCTCATCGTTGATCTGAAACTGTGGCTTAACTGCAGAAAGCAAGACTAGAAAGCTTTTTTGGGGGAGGGTGGGTGTGTGTTTGTTGGGGGGGATACCTCAAATAAAGAGTAATGAAGAGATTTTTTAATTAAAATGGACTTTTGATGAGCATTTAGTAAATCATAGGTGGAATCAAAGCAGTTTGAAGCATATTTAGAATGCATGTCTGCAAAGACCAAGCTGCTGTAGATGTAAAGCCTTTTTTAAATTTGTGGTTAACGAAAGAAAAAAAAGGTCTGAAGGTTTTTTCTCTACAATGCAGGAGGGGATTCTGCATGTCTGGTAAAGGGACTTTGAAGATGCGACCAACCAGCACAAAGAGCTTCATTTATATATGAGGTGTGAAAAGTGTGTTATTATGAGGTGAAGGCTGCAGAGCGGCTTGTCTCAAATCAAATTCTGTTCACATGGAGACCAGAGTTCCTGGTCTGCTCTGTTGTCTGGATCAGTAGATTTCTAGGCTTTCTGAAGATTTTTCAAAGTTGTTTCCTCTATAATTTTTTAGTCCATTTTCTTCTTATATTAGAATAATAGTGGTTTGCATTCAAAAGTAAAAAAGATAAAGTAGTGGATAAGAGACACACTGTCTAAGCCAGATGATAATCTGCTGATCTGCCGCCGTATGTTAAATGGTTACTGTTTCATCTTGTATGCTTCTTCGTAGATCCAACAAAAGAAATGAGAACAAATAGTTTAGCTTTTTATGTGTAGACACAATTATACCTTGTGTTACAACAAACATACTTCTAAGTATAGTTTTATTTACTGCATATTTTATGTGAGTGACCAGAGATGGCAAAAGTACTCACTTTCCGTACTTGAGTAAAAGTACAGATACTTGTTTTAAAAAAATACTCTGGTAAAAGTGGAAGTATTGATTCAACTTCTTTACTCAAGTAAAAGTAACAAAGTACAGGCTTGTAAATTTACTTAAAGTATAAAAGTAAAAGTAGAATCCACTTTTTTCATGCCGTTGCCTACATTTTAAATGGATGTCTGCCAATAGGACTAGATCTCCGTTGTGTTCATTTTCAATCATCTTGTCGTCCATGCTACTATGCTAACGCCACCGCCACCAAGCTGCAATGATTTGCCGCCAATGAATACCGCCGAATCTGTCGATTCATCTTGTAGTGGTGCGTCAAATGCAACGTAGATTCCCATCCAATTAGATTGAATTTGGTATCGATGATGTGAAAAATAATAATGGTAACTCCATTGAAATGATTCAAAACTAAAGTAACGAACCAATTTTTTTAAATGTAAGGAGTAGAAAGTACAGATATTTGTGTAAAAATGTAAGGAGTAGAAGTAAAAAGTCGCCATAAAAATAAGTAGTAAAGTAAAGTAAAAATATCAGAAAAATCTACTTGAGTACAGTAACGAAGTATTTGTACTTCGTTACTTCCCATCTCTGTGAGTGACAAACACAAAGTTGTGCATTAATGCATTATAAAGGTTTGGTGTCAATATGTGTTCCGCCCCCTTGAGTATTTGTCCAGCTGAAAGGTGAACCTCCATCTCAGCATCCAACAGGGTTTCTTTCAAGGCTGCTCTATATGTAGCTCCCTCCATCTACAAATCAACATCAGCCAGCTTCTCTAATTTCTTCAGGATAAGTTGTAGACTTAGTTTTTTATCTGCACACAAAATGTAATGTAGGCCAAAAAATAAAATGTCCATCGTATGTGAGCAAGCTAGCTTCTTCCACATGTTTACTTTGTTTTTCTTTGCTTGTGGTATTTTGCAAATTGCATATTTTTCAGGAATTTTGTCAAAATGGCTTTTTATTTTAAAATCAGATTTGGGAAGTGCACAACAAATGGTTGTCGGGTCAACTCTTCTACCTGAGCTCTGGGTTTCTGCTGCTCATCCATAGTCACCACAAGCCTGCTGGTGTACCTATGTGGACCCTTTCAGTTCAGTTTGATTGGCATGTCTAAGAAGGTTTTCTGCTTGCTCATCCTTTTTACATGCAGAGTTGATGGATGGACCAGGGCTCTGTGAAATGATTAGAGCTTGGGGTGCTGCTTTATAACTTAAAGCATTGATTCCCTAAGTTATGGTTGTGGCCTGACTTTAGGTTTAGGATCAATAAATATAAGGTCTTCTCCAGAGAAATTAAAAAGTTTAACAAACGATATGATAATTAGGAACCTTTATTATATTCTGTAAAAGTGTCTAGCCACTCAGAAATGTCATGTTGACGTTGGATGCACACACTCAGGTTAGCTAATCACATTTAGAATAACTTGCTGCCGTCAAGCCTTAACATGCATGCTGATCTGATTGTCAATCGGCATAAATCACCCCGAGGTCGGATGAAAATATTATTCATATCTGCCAAATCAATTCAATTCAATTCAATTCAGTTTATTTATATAGCGCCAAATTCACAACACACGTCATCTCACGGCACTTTACAGTTCACCAGATCATACAGTCAAATTTATTCAAAGTTTTTTATCTAAGGAAAACCAGTTGATTGCATTGA